ACTTGGTATAATTAAAAAACACTTTGCTTTCCGTTCTTGGGAAAGACAATTTTTAGACCAGCTGTGGAAAAGAAGCAGCGGAGAAATGAATGATGGAAGATCTACAGAGTTCTTCTCTGACTGACCCATGCACATGTATTTATAATGATTCCTTCTGCAGAGCCCACTGTAGGATTTGTGTGTTCCCCTGATGCACCAGTCATCAGGGCAATGTATACAAGCATTAGCAGAGGGAATGTCTCTAGTCAATAGTTTCAAAGTCCCAAAGAACTTTGAGTACCAATGGTTTTGACAGCCAAATCTTAGAAGGCTAAACAGGGCCTGAATGATCAGTGCAGATACTCAGCATTCTTCAGTCTCTAGAAGGCGAGGTGTTAGGATTCACTTAGAACTCACAGCAGGCCTCCCACTTAATGGCATTTTTTAAACAAATGATTTATTTACTTGAATTATTGTGCTGAGTTTCCAGCTTTCTGAGTGCACTTGGGTCATGAAGTCAAGGTTTTTCTCTGCAACTGTAAGGACTAGAAATATATATATTTTTTTTAAATGAAGTTTGGATTTGACATGTTCACAAAACTCCAGCAGATGGGTCTTTACAAAAACCCATCCAGTATTGCAAGAATCCCAATAAAATTGAAAGTTGTCAGCACTGAATGTGTCTGCAGTTGAACGGCCAAAGCAGAAGTCGTTTGTAAAATCCTGAATTTGGAGACAATGGGTACTCCTGCTAAGTGTCCTTTTTCTTTGCTTTCTTTTTTATTCTTGTATCTTTTTGTGCCATTTTGTTGTGGTCACTGGAGCTGGTTTACTTTTCAGCAAATCTGAAGCTGGTTTGCTTTTCAGACCTGGAAACCAGTTTGGGTATTTCAAACCATTTTCTTCCAGACTATGCAGTTTACATGTAGAGAGACATATGCTGGAGAGCTGATGTATTTCACACACGACATAAACACGTTTTTCTTATTTTTCAGTATGAGTTGGCCAAGAACATTAAATTTGGGCAACCTCCACAAATTACAGTTTCTATGTGGACAATGGGGGAGACAGATTCTAGTTTAGAAGAGGATGTATTGCTCAGTAGCCCCATGGAGACTGAATCTCAGCAGGACCCAGTGCTCTCAGGCAGCGATGCTAAAGTAGGCATTTTAAATGGAGCTATGTACTGAATCACAGCATTACTAAAAGAGTAGAGCACGCTAAAGTATAGCAGCAGTGTCCAGTGAGGCATACCTGAACTCAGTGAGATACAGCAGTTGGTATTGTTATATGAGGACACCCTAGATCACGGTTGGCAAAATGGCGGATCTGGCTGGCAGCCAGACTCCATTTCCCAGCAACCCCTCCCCACATGGCTGGGGCCAATCTCCATGGAGACCCCAGTCACTGTGCTGTGATAGTTGCCATGGAGACCGGACCTGGGCGCAGAGCAGGGGGTGCTCGGGAGCTGTTGGGATCTTGTGGCAGGGACAGCTTGGTCTGGGGCCAGGGCAGAGCTGCAATCTGCTACCTGCATGCTCTGGATCGCAGCTCTGCCCTGGCTACTTGCAGTGGTGACAGCGTGGTCCTGAGCCAAGGCACAGCCACGATCTGCTGCCTGCATACCCCTGCCTGGAGTGTGCAGGTGGCAGATCGTGGCTTTGCCCTGGCCCCAACCAAGCTGTCCCCACAGCAAGATCCCAGTGGCTCCACAGCAGCCCCCTGCCCTGCTCTGCCACATGCTCTATGGCAACCACAGCTTTGCACTATCACAGCTCAGCCGCTGAGGTCTCCATGGAGACTGGCCCCAGCTGTGTGGGCAGGGGCTGCTGGGAAATGGAGTTCACTGCTGGCTGGATCCAACTCATGGGCTGGACTTTGCCCACCCCTGCCCTAGATTTAGTAGGATCCTTTGAATCCTGCTTCCCAGATGGATGAGATGGATATGCACTGGGCATGAGGCAACTGCTCTTCTGGGAGGGAAGCCATGACATTTACAACAGTAGGAAAGGCCCAATTTTGACTTCCCAGAAAGCAGATTGCAAACTTGATATTGCTAGAAAGCAGGAAAAGACTTTGGAGAGATATAGAAGACATTTTGAAATATCAGTTCCCCAGAGTGGGACCATGTACACAGCACCACATGGCAAAGAGGAGGTGTGTTGCAAAATGGGCCTAAAACAATTTGCCAATAGGCCAGTTATGGGGTAAGTGTCTGTGGTACAAGGAATCTATGCTGTGAGATTGGAGTCAGAGCAAAGAATACCAAAACCAATTCACTAGGTAACCATAACGTTTTTGAAATCAAGCACCATAAGTTGTCAAGTGGATGCAATGCAAAACCACAGATCAGTGGTTCTCAACCTTATTAGACTTCAAGTGACCTTCATTAGATCTAAGGCACCTGTCAAAATGCCAGCTTACCTTTCACTCATTTCTTGACTACAGAAAAATAACAGATAAATTATTTTGTTGAAAAGAACTCAGAAAGCCCACAACAGGTCAGAATATTTTTGACACTCTGGCTTCCTAGTTGAAATCTCTGGAGTAACCTTGTGAATCATGCATTGGTGTGTGGACACACTTAACAGTGTTAATATTGTGTAGCACCCCTTACCATCCATAAAAGGAGCTTGTGACACCCTAGGGTGCTGCAGCACACTGGTTGACAGTCACTGCCATAGATAAAAAAAGAGGGAGGCTCTTGGGAAAGGGAGTTTCTGTACGTTTCTGTAACTAGGCTGAAGAGGACCATGGAGTTCAAAATGGGTAGAAAAGCAAAGATTTGAGTTGGGTGGAGGCTGGGATCCATTTGGGGAAAGCAGACTATGCTATCCAGCTAGGACCTTGCACACAGCAGTTGTGTGCAGAGGCTAAGCAGGATACTGGCACGGGGGGGAGCACAGAATTAATTCCTGCTTTTATTAGTAGTAATGCTAGCTACCTGAAAGACAGGTAAGCAGATCCTCATCTTCTACCTGATCCCGCCCAGCAGGGGTGGGGAATGAGTATCTGCCGCAGCTGTGTTGCATGCACTCCTCAAAACACTCCAAGAAGGTTTCTGTCTGTACCAGCCCAAATTCCGTCTCTATTCTCAAGCTGCAACATGGTTCCTCTCCACTCCTTCAGCCAGGGCTGTGGTTTCAAAACACTGCCACACCTCAAGGCTATATGCAGACCTTCTACTGCAGAGACAGTGAGGCTGCTTGTGAGGTAGATGGACAAATCTTGTAGGAAACCAGTGAATCAGTGGATAAATCCTGCCTCTTCTAGGACTAGAACAGCCTTGAATACTGTGAAAACAATATAGTTTTGCAGCACAAAGAAGCTGTGCAGCAGAGAGATCAGTTAAGAGTTCACTTCTTGTCTCCACAGGAGGAGAGTGGGTTTGTGGACGCTTGAGGTCTATGCTCCACCTGTGGGTTGATAGAAAAAGCTGCTGTGTTCTTCCCACATAGTTCCCCTACACACAGCTGTTCTGTTGAGGCATTGTGCAAGGGGTCAGGATGTCACCAGATAGCTCAGACCGCAGGGAGAGAATACTAGTACTTCTGTGTGGAAGAACGCAACGAAGAGTTCAGTCCACTAGCTGTGTGGAAGTGCTAGCATTCGTTGAAAACTGTGTGGTGATCAGAGGCACAGTATTAACAGCATCATAATGTTTTAAAATAGATGTATGTCTGTCTAGTTCTGCCCAGTGCTTTCCAAATGTACAAGGACAGTGATCAGCAACCTTTTTGCAGCAGCAGGCTAAAATGAATCATCTCAGGTTCAAAGCTGGTGAGCCTTGTCCTCTGTCCTCTATTGATATGGAACCAAATGCCTTTATGTCCTCTCTTTTTCTCTTGAAGAGAAAAAGAGAGGACATAAAGGCGTCAGGTTTCGTATCAATAGAGGACAGGACAGAGTAGCAGAAAACCGGAATGTCCTCTATGATGGCCACCCCAGTTAGGATCTATCCATCGCTGCTGCCACTTGTCCCTTCTCTCTCCTACTGATATCAAAGGTGTTAATGGACCATAATTAGTGATGAAATCTCTCCTAGTAATGCAAACATATTCAGTATGTACAGTTATAAAAAGAAACACTTAAGTTGATGTATACAAATAATATTATGTAGGACCTTAGTGCTTTCTCCTGCAGAAGTCCTCATGGACCCCTGGATCACATCTGAAACCACACAATCAAGAAATATTGCCTCCAGGATATGTTTTTGAGCCCTTTCCCTCCCCCTGCAACCTTGATACTACCAAGGGCCACCCCAGCTCATGGAATTGGAGAGCACAAGGAAGGGGAATGGAAGGATGTGAAGGTTGGATTTTATGAATTTTCCCGGAGCAGAGCAAATTGATTCCAGTGGATAAGATACTAGACTGGGATTCAGGAGCCCTGGATTCTATCCATACCAAAACCAATGACCTCCTGGGTGTCACTGGACAAATAGCTCTGTCTCTCTATTTCCTCCTTAGCCTTTATCTGTCTTTCCCATGGTAAACTCTTAGGGGCAGGGATTGTACAGCATGTAGCACAGGTCAGAGCTTCTAAATGCTACTGGGGCACAAAATAGTAATAATATGGTTCTGGCATCTTCAGTAATTAATGCTGTTTCTTTTTCACTCTAATGAGATGGTTTCTCTGGGTAAATGGCTAGCAGCTCTAATGAAACTTTACTGATAGGAACTGATAGCCTAAGGAACCCCTTTATGCATCCCACTTCTCTGCAAAGGAAGAGAATGCACAGGAAGCGTACAGATTTTCCATCCCCTGATGCATGTAATTCCTGCCTAGGAGACAGCAGAGCTCTTTATTTTATACTGATTCAGACTTTAGTCAGGCTAATTCATTGTTCTATGCTAAAAAAAATTCAAAAGTCTTCAAATAATGGCAGGTTATTTTTTGACTTTTCTTTTAAACTCAGTGGGGATATTCTACTTATCATTTTATGCTCTAATTTTCTTAATTGTATTTATTAGATTACTTGCATTCTAATATCTGCCTGCGGTAATCTTCTTCTTTTTCAGTCAACTGACACTCCAGATTCATTGAGCCGAGTGAGTTTGCCTGGAACAGGACAGGAGATGGAGGAGAAGGTAACAGGACATCTATAGTTACCTGAATGTGTTAATTATGAATTCTCTGCTACTTTGATTTTCATTTTTCTCCTTTAATTTTCTTTTCTAGAAAACTGCCCATACACTTTTTTTTAATTGTAACAACAATTTATTGTTCCAAATTCATCCAAAACTGTCAGGTTTTAAGACAATTCTGCTGCACAGTATTTGAGAGAGACTAATAAATAAATAGTTCCTAACATTGACTAGTCTGTTTCTATGGCAATAGATGACTACCGAAAACTGAACAGAGTTCCTTCTCAGCTGGTCTTGAAGCATTCCTGCATTTGATTTACTAAAGAGCCATCATTTTCAGAAGTAATTTTACTACTTTATTATGCTTACATGTAATTTAATAAGTCTGTGAACAATATTTCACATCTTTAAATAATTGGTTTCCTCATTAACCTACATTTAACCTCCATGGATTTCAGCGCCATCTTGGGAAAAAGATACTGTATTTTCTCTCTGGAAAACATACAGCTCCCCCACAACCTTATTTTTTTTTAATCTCCTTGTTCCTTTCTGAGTTGGTGCCAAATACAAATCTAATAGCCCTAAATGAACCATGTGGGGACATTTTTTATTTTGTCACCTCTTAAAAGCTAATTTAATGTATTGCCACTTATTTTTTCTGGTATAACAGCATTTGCTGCTGCAGGGCCTGTAGGAAAGATCTATCTAGCAATCTTTCAACCAAATATTGTGCCCTTTTAATTTTGTGTTTGGAGATGTTTTCAGTATATCTCAAAGCAGTTAGTAAACTCAAGGTTCCAAGCCTGCACTCATGTGTATAACCTTACTCCTGAAAACGGAGCCATTATGTTAAATGTTACTATTTCCATGAGCAGAGTTATGCATATGTGTAAGTGTCCACAGTATCTTGGCCCAATTATGTACAGACCAAAAGAAAGAGCATTGACCAAAATTGGCACTCTGATTTCACCTGAGAGCTTTCAGAGGAGCAATGAGCAAGGCACAGTGTTGGAGTTGTTAAGAGGCCTTTCTGCTACTCTAGTGGCATGAATTCAAGCCTTGCTGTGCTCTGAGGCCAAACTAACTCAGCTGTAAGTGGGTATTGGATCATTTCAAACTGGGGCATCATAGAATCATAGAAGTATGGTCGGAAGGGACCTTGTAGATCTTCAAATGTGACCCCCTGCCTGGGCAGGAGAAAAACTGGGCTCAATGACTCCAGCCAGGTAGGCATCAAGCCTCCTCTTAAAGACCCCCAGGGTAGGAGCCAGCACCACTTCGCTTGGAAGTTGGTTCCAGATCCTAGCCGCCCTGACTGTGAAGTAGTTCTTATGGATGTCTAATCTAAACCTACTCTCCAACAACTTATGGCTGTTATTCCTTGTTATGCCAGGGGGCGCTAGGGGAAACAAGGTCTCTCCCAAACCCTTCTGGTTCCCCCTAGTGAGTTTATAGACGGTCACCAGGTCCCCCCCTCAGCCTTCTCTTGTGAAGGCTGAACAGGTTCAGGTCCTGCAGTCTCTCATTGTAGGGTCTGCCCTGTTGTCCCTG